CCCCAGCGACCTGGGACTTCTGGGGTACTTTTGCAATCTCTGCACCAGATTCAGCCTAACGGTCCAGGTGATGCGCAAGCTCAGCGTGGACTGCCAGGAAAGAAAGCAGATGTACCCTGAGGTCAGGAAGGGGGGTGCATTAGGAGGGAAAATCAAGGTGCACCAGAACTTCATGTGAAAATGATATGCTGCCTTCCTGCCAGTCGAAATTTCTAATGCCTTGCATCTTTTTTTTTTTTTTTTTTTAAAAAAAAGGTGGGTGTGGGGGTAAGAAAAGAAAGAGAGATCTTCTGACAGTCAACTAAATATTTCCTAAAGCCATCTAGTAAGGTGATGGGTACGGGGCCAAGATGCAATTCCATGTTCCGTCATTCGCTGTTTCTTGCTGTAAAACAAAACACCACCAACAACAAAACTTGAAGTTGTTACCAGTTTGTAACAGCGCAGCTTTATGCTGAAGGGGATGAGATTGTCTGCCACCCTGGAATTCCCACGTGCCGTTAGTATGTTATTTGCTTTTCTATTTCAGCTCTGTCCCTTGGAGAAGGTTGTGTCTGCAGTGTTTTTGGAAGTTATATTTATTTTCCGCATGTGTGCAACTTCAAAACAGCTTAGCTACTGGCATTAGACTCTTCCTGTTCAGGGCAAAATAGCCTCAAAACCAGAATCTGGGGATATGAAGTAGTTGGAGTACGAGTTTGTGGTTTTGTTACTTGTGGTTTTAACTGAAACATATTGTAGTTTTTCACTAGCTGTTACTCACTTCAGCGTACCATAATTGCCCTTCTTCTCACCACCCTGGCGGGTAGCCTTATCTGGCATTTTTAAACGATGCTAAATCAGTTAGCTTGTAAAAGGGATATATGCCTCTTTGGTATTATCCTAGTGTCTGTAGCATCCACTACTTTTTGATTCATTTATCACCGCAGTGACCTGCTATTGCGTGCTTTCCCCATCTCAAAGAAGAGGAACTAAAGTTTTCACTGGAGGAAAAGCTTATGTTATCATTGGGTCAGCTCTTAGAAAGGACCAGGTAGTTTCCAAATAACTAGCAAGTTGACATAAACAGTGGGCTCTGAGTCATTCTCCTGGAAAGTACCAGCGGTGTGTGCCTAGGGATTTTCATACATTAGCTTTATGTGGTGAACACCAGAAAATCCTGGCTTCCCTCCATGGCAGAGGCATACTTGGAGTGTTTTGCCCAGGGATGCCCAGGCTGGGGGGGAGCTGCGTGTGTGCACCCGAAGTGTCAGAGGGTGTGGTGTAATGCATGCTGAGGTGGAGCTGGCTGGCTTAACACGAGAAAGCCACAGGCTGGCTGTTCTTGCAGACTGTCATTTCAGCCTTTTCAGTACACGAAAAGTGGGGCACGTGTGTGTTTCTCCATGAACGCTCGCTCTCCGAGAGAGTCCTGTGTTTCCCATTGCTCCGTACTGCAAGGCCTCTGAGCCGGTTTACCTAGGCATCATTCTGCTCCCCAGCCGCTGCTGCGGGCACTCCTAAATTACCTGGCTGTATTTAAATAGAGAAAGAACGTGGTGCCTGCCAGCAAAGGGAGGCAGAGCCAGATGAGAATTTTCCAAAGTGACACAAGGAGGATGGCTGGGACATGGCCCTGGCAGAACTTTGAGCTTGTTCTCACCTGTGCAGAGACTTTCTCTCTGCCTTGCCTTTACTAGCAGGATTCAGAACTCTACCTAGGAGAGGTAGAGAGTCCTTGAGCAAAAACTACCTTGGCTCTGGGCGTTACTGTTGTAACATCTGCCCAGAGGATAAGCTAGCAGCAACTTGGGAATGATCACAAACGGTTGTTGCAGTGCATCTTAGCTGAGTTTGTCACTCTTTTTCCAGGGAATCTCAGTTGCACTGCTGTTACACATGCTGCCTGATGTGACGGTGGTGTGTTGGGATTTTCAGTTTCCTTTCAGATGACATCTTTCGCTCTGCATTACTGGTCTTTGTCTCATTTCTTTCTCTGAAAGTAAAGAGAGCTTCTCAATAGCTTGTGGGTTACTGAGAACAGAAACAAAGTTGTTGCTCTCGTACGCTTGTCTTGCAGTGGAACGATTTCTATTTCGCCTGTTAAAATTGTCTTCCCAGTGGTCGTATGTTGGACAGCTTCAACATGTTGGGTTAGTAGATTCAGACACTTAATGTGAGCAACAGTGACACACATCAGGCAAGGTGGCAGCTGTGCCTGTGAGCCCTGCATCTGTGCATCAGTGAATTTCTTTCTGAAGCAGATAATTGCAAGGATTTTAAACAAAGAATGTAATCTTGAACCTTTGACAGTTTTTACCTCTCTACCAGAAGTGAATGCTCTACCAAAAGTTAATGTCACTGCACTTAGCTGTGGTCCAATCTTGTTGCTTTTCCTGTTAAGCACTAGGTCATCTTGAGCTGCTTGATATTACCTAAACATAATTTAAATCCAAGCAATATTGCGCTCTGAAGCTGGCTTGCATCTTCCTCTTTGTCTTTCCTTTATAAGAAATCAATGCTAATATATAAAAATCAGACATCTAGAGCTATTTCACTCTGTTAATTGAATTACGAAAAGCTTGAAAGGTAAGCTTAGTACATCACTACTAAAGCCTACTGCTGCCTCACAAAGGTGTTGCACTCTTTGAATACGGAGGTCTAGCAGTATATTATTTGCATGCAGTGATAGCTCTAATTGCAAACCTAATAGGATACAAGAGAATTCTAAGACTATTACGAATAATAATATATTATTTTTGAAGTCTGTGGGATTTTTTTATTGACAGTCCTTTGGGTTGAAGCTGGAAATAAAATGCAGAATGTTGAAATATTTCTCGTTGGTTCGGAGGGCTGTATTCAGTGCTAATCGCACGTCACGATTCTTGAGGTCTGAAGTGCTCCCAGCGGGCAGTTCTCCTGATATAAATTGCAACTGGAAAGCGGTGCTAACAAAGCCCAAGTACCTGTTCCGTTCAGTAGCTCCATCTCTAGGGCAGAGAGGGGAGGATGATCTCTGGTCCGACTTGCAGTAATGACAGCGTATCAGTAGGTTGTTAATACCTACATAAAGAGGTGATTCCTTGGAATGGCGGCTGAGGGGGCCCCAGAGAGTTCTTTGGGGTAAGTCTGCACAGTGAAGCTGATGTCTTTCAAGAGGTACAGCTTCCTGTCGAAATACAGCGCTCTTCCAGTCTGATGCACAGGTGGTAGCTGGAGAGTGCTGAGTGCCCAAATATAGAGACCTCCGTAGGACAGGGACAAGCCATTAAGGTGGAGTGGGATGCCGGGAGTGTTCAGGGTGGAATGGCTTTGGCTTTAATTTAGTACTGATCTTGATCTGTGCGGGGTTTTGTGTTCCGAGGAGAGAAACCTTTCTCTCGTGACTGGTGCGTCTCTTCGCAGAGAGCCTGTCTCCCCTTACTGCTTTCTTACGTGCTGTCCTTCCACTGGAAGCCTGCTTTGAGTCATAGCTTCGCTGCTGTTGAACTGTTTAGCACCAGCGTTTTGTGAACTTCTACTTCAATCTGAAAATAAAATGTCAGGTTTGGTAACAGAACTAACTCCCCCTCTCCGTGATCCCCCTGCTTTCAAGGGCACGTTCACCAGCACCGCGAAGAGCAGGGGAAAAAAGCACGTCTCTGGTCGCTGTTGTTACGTTAGGGATTTATGTGTTTGTAATTGAATATCTATTTGTAACACACTTACTAACACCTAGCAATTACTCTGATTCCCTTCACATAAATGTGTATTGTCATGGATATATTGAATTTACTGGATTGCCTTCCCTCTCAAGTAATACCGCTCCATGATTGTTATAATATGAAAAGAGGGTTTTTGTGGGTTTCTTTTTTTTTTTTAATTCTTCTGTCTTATATTGACCTTGTTAAAAGAATGGGGAAAGAGCAGCAGGGCTGGTTTTCATGGATTGGGGATGTTAAAATCCATCCCCTCACAGAACAAGAGGAGAAGAGATTTCCGAAGTCATAGCCCATCCGTGATGCAAAGAGCTCTGTCAGCACCTATGCAAAGGGAGTTTTCAGCTCTGGCATCTTGCTGGCAAAATACTACCATAGCAGCACAGCAAGAAAGAGCTAGCAGTGGAGTCTTAAGCCATTAATGGTTTTACAGGTTGAGCTGTGCTGAGAAATACTCAGTGACATATGGCACGCTACAGAATACAAGTGTCTGAGGATCTCAGTAAAACTAATTTTCAACAAGCAGACATTTGTGTTCTGCAACACCTTTAGTTTGTACAGCTCTTGAGAGGTGCTGACAGGTTAGAGAGAATCTAGAATTAGACAAAGCTGATTTAAGAAATCACTGTTTTAATTTGACACAGCAATTTTAATTCCCCTTACAAAAGCAATTCCACAGTACAAACAGTATCAGTGCAATGAGTTTGTGTGGCTTCCTTCTAGAAATCAGCATAGCACAATGATGAAAGTGTAGAAAATTTTGACATTTAAGACTACCATCCTGTATTTATCTTCCTTCAGTTATAGCATGAACTTTCCTTTAGCAATAATACAGGAATTCATTTTAATTTTAAAGAACACACAAGATTAATAAAATCAACTTAAGTCCTTAATTTATTTAGTGTGGCCTTCGGTGTGGTGCGGTTTCATTAAAGCTGAGCTGGAAGAGCCATTTCTGAAATACAACAGGTTCTTTGAAAGTTAACTTTTCTGTTGTGTTGAGACTGTGTAGCTTGTTAAGGAGGAGTTCTGGGCAATGCTTCTCTTACAGAGAGAAGGGTAATTAGGAGAGAGAAGCTGAAAAACATGCCCCACCGTTAGTTTCTCGGCTTTGCTAAGCAGTCTGCGACACTGGTAAGTCCAAGTAAGATTTCCTAGATTTTGGAAGCATTTGATCCATGCTAATCCCTGTCTTTACTCCAGGTGGTGTGTGCAGAATGACACTGAAAACGTTCTTCCATGTCCTGCTTGGAGAACGTAAGAGGTGATTTTCACTTAACTGTGGTGGTATTCCTGAACCGTTTGGTTTTTTTTATCTCTTAGCGCTGGCCCCAAAGGTGATAACATCTACGAATGGAGATCAACCATTCTAGGACCTCCAGGTTCAGTCTATGAGGGAGGTGTGTTCTTCCTTGACATCACATTTACACCAGAATATCCTTTCAAGCCTCCAAAGGTAAGAGACCTGTAGCTGATGTCATGCTATGAGCACAACAGACAGTGGAGCAGCAAGCAGTGTCAATGGAATGCAGCCCATTTGAAAGGCACTCTCCTTAAGAACAGGCTTAAGCTCATTTCAGGCCTTACACTGGTTTCTATTAGCTAATGTTAACAGCTTTTCCAATCCACTTGCTCGCTATTGTAGAGCTTGTTTTCTTTTTCCCTGATTCTGTTTATAAGAGGTCTTAAACAATTAGCATGAGCATCAGGACTGGACTGGGAAACTGAAAAGTAAATAAACTTGGGGACAGGAGAAAGGATGCAAATACTTGTTTCTCAAACCACTCGATTACCATCAGCATAATGGTTGTGTGTGTTTTAGCCACTGAAGTAGTACTTAACTTTTCAGTTTAGTTGGGTGCTTTCCATGTGCTTGTACAGTAACCAGACTTTTTCCGTAGGTGTGTTACACCTGTGAAGCTCTTGTACTCCGCTGGTGTTGTGTTACAGTGCTGCAAGGCACATACCAGTGCAAGTGAATGTTATCTTGTGGTTCCCGTGTACTTGGGCAGAATAAGCGTTGGGTTGCAAGAAGAGGTGGTTGTGTGTACACTTCGTGTTTGCCTTGTATCTGAAAGCATTTATGTGCGTGTTTAACTTGTGACTTAAAAGTAGCTGCACTGATGAGATAAACGCCAGTGACTGCCCCATCTTCAGGCTTCCGTTCAGTCTGCAGCACCGTCTGCCAGAGGTCAGGCCATCCATCCATCTCAGCGAAGACAATCCTAATTGGTCACAGCAGCCAAATTAATAGGAGCTTCCCAAATTCAGGCAACTCTTCTTGCTAGCCTAACTTCAGGGCTTCTGGTCGTATCAACGGGACCTCACAGTCTACCCCTAAGCTAGGGCTCTGATACACAAGCAGCATGGTCTCCCTTAGGACATCTCTAGGGGTTTCGTGCTGACACCTGTCCATCTCTCCTTGGAGATTCTCTGGCAGAGCAGATGGTTGTCTTCTGTTAGAGCTTAATACAGTTCAGAATAGTTTTTCATTATTTTAGTTTAATTAGTTTGCACTGGATAATTTATTGTCCAACTATAGGCGGTATCTTATCTCATGAGCCCAGTGAGCATTGAAAGAGGGAGCTTTTACCTCCCCTGTGCGCTTTGCTACACCTTTGATTTCTGGGCCACAGGTCAGAAGCATTTATTGTTCCAGGCTTATCCAGCCTTACAAGACCATATTATAACTGCCAGTGGTATTGAGACAGGCCTATATGCCGAGTTCCCTGATGCAGAACCAAAGATCACTTTCCGCTCTGCGCTTCTGACAGGGATCTCTCTGCCTTTACCTTTGGATCTAAACCCTTATGGGATGAAGAGTGGGGTTAAAAACAAGAGGCACCACTTAGTGAGGCCTTAAAAGACAAGTTTAGTGGAGAATCACTCTGTTGTAGCAGAGTTGCATTTAAATGGAGTGTTTCATCTAGTAGAGCCCAAGTTGGTCTATAAACCACATACATGTATGGAAGTAAAATCCATGTAGCTTCCATCACATCGAGGTGAGATACAAGAGAAAGCATAGCAGCGCTCTAACAGAACCAGCTTGTGCTACTTGGGTACGTCAGGTTTAAACGAGTAACCTTTCTTCTGCTGAGAACCAGAGACTTGTACAGCGCCTCCTGTGTTAACGCCTACGCTTCTGTTAATCAGTGTTAATGTGGAAAATGTAATTAGCGTATTGCTCCTGCTTTATTCCCACTAATTTGTTGATTTCAGATTGCCCAACTGCTTGCAGTGGCTGATAAATACTGTTTGTGGGTCACCTGTAAGTGGTATCACTAATGTAATTACCATAACCTTCCTATATTGGTCTTTGAGGGCAAGAAATAAACAGCTAGTTGAAACAAAACCCATCTTGATGCTAAGCCCTAGTACAGCAGTGGAGTGGTTGAAGGTCATTTCAAAAGCCTTGACCTCTGAAAGGATTAAGCTGTCTAGAGTGAAAGGACTCGTTTCCCTTGACTCTTCCCTGGTAAGCCTTGCATGACCAGTGGCGGAAAACCTCTACTGCCACTTCGAGTCCACGGTAAATCTGATGGGGACAGTCCCTGGGGTGGGCTGCCCCGTGATGAAGTGCCTGTAGTAGCACACATTTCCTAACTTGAAAACGAAATGTCATTAAAGGATTTAACTTCTTATAGTGAGGTGAAGCTGGTCATCCTGGCAGGATTCCAAGCCCTTAGGAATATGCAGGAGAGAAGGTGTCAAGGCATAGCCACTGCTGACGAGCACCCTGGAGATGTGTGATGAAGGATATACAGACGCAGCTTTTGAGGGCTGGGTCTAACTCCAGCTGAGGGTTTGGTTCAGTATGTTGGAGGAAACTTTTGTGGGAAGGACGTTGCTGTAGGAGAGTCCTTGAGGGCTGTGCTGGAAGCTATGTTAACAGCTTCCTGGGAGGATGGAAAGAGGGACTGCACTACTGTACTTGAGGCTGGAGAAATTACAGATCTTAAAATTTGACTTGGAAATGCTTTGCACAGGACAAGGAACTTCAACAGGAGAACACTGCTAAAGGAAC